GAAAGTCACTGTGTACATGTGTTGCATCAGCAATTCAGTTAAACATTTTTAAATGGTCAGAATACAGGCTGCTAAATAAAGAGGCTGAATTTTAACTATGAAAGGAGATTAATAGGCTTTCTTAAAACAGTAAACAAATAGACCCATAGCATTACACTAACCACATAATGCTTAATGGTATCTGTTATTATAAAGTTAACCTCTCAAAGTCATCCAGATTTAATGTTAGAAGTCTACTGCATCTAGGAACCAAAATGCTGTTTTTAAGGTGTACAACGAAACACACACTGCTAAATGCTGGCTGGCCACCCCTTGATTTTCTTGCAGTACTAGCCAAACCTGTCTATGTAGCAATTGTAGTAATGATTTAGACATGAGAAAGGATCTTGCTTATAAACAAAGGAGGATTAAAAATCTTTCTCAGCTAAAATGTTCTCACTAAAAAAAAGAGTAGGACCTTTCACTCATCTTCTTCTGGTATAGAGCAGGTACAATTTGCAATTTCATAAAATTCTGAAGCAAAAAAAACTCCAAGCCATCTAATTTATTAATGGGAAATAAAATGCCTGTACCAAAGCCTAGAGCGAAGAGGCACTGGGTACCAGTGAAGGAAAAAGTAACAAATGCATTTCCTGTGGCATGATGAGATGCCACATGGTTACACAGTTAGCAAGGATCAACCCTTCAACAGCTGAAGCTCCTTTCCATTAATGCCAGCTAGGTGCATTACTGGGTCAACTAACAATACAGATTTAATCTGGAACAAATACACATGCACCACTGAATTTCTGTATTGTCTGAGCTAAGAAGAGTGTGAGTTACAGTATTAAAGCAGTTTTATACTTTCTGTTGATTGCAGGCAAAAAGCTTCCACATCAAATCCATTACAAAGCTGTCCAGAAGACAGTTACTGCTTTAAAACAATGTCAATGCACTTCGTTAGGTAGCATGGATTTGCACAATACCTGGAATTTTGCTATTTGTTCTGGTAACTTTTCTGATCTACAGTTAAGTACTCTAAAGCCCGATTTGCCAAGCCATGTAACCCCTCCTGGCCTCAGTAGTTCTCTTTTCTCAGATGATTGTTAGCTGTAATGATGAGAGTAATGCCAGTGATGTATCTGCTCCAAAAATAAATATTCACTCCTTACTTGCAGCTTGGCACTGAAATGGCTCCCCCAAAACTGGATATATATTGTAGAAGGTTTTAGCCATCTCTGCCTGAGACAGTTTTAAAACCAAAGAAGCAAGAAAATAATAATATAATTTTTTTAAGAGTTAAGATTACAAAACCAAATAAAATCATCCAACCTAAAAAGTGTCTCAGTGGTGGTTTAACTACCCAGCTAGAATATGTGTTTAATGCACCAAAACTTCTTGATGAGTCTGACAGGTGATTTGAATGATCAAGAAATGAAAAATCAAGTGTTTTATTAATATTAGACATTTCTGATCAAATAGAGAGATTTCAAATAGGGAATAATAAAGCCTTTTTTTGGTAGACAATTGGACAACACTGATTTTTATGAAAATTTTTAAGTTTTGAGCTTGTGTAATGTATTCCCAGATTCTGGCAGTATAGTTGCAAAAATAGACGGGTAAAAATGTCATTTGTCTTTAGGAAGGTGGTGAGGGTCATCTACTGCTACATCATTTCTCAGCTGCCCAGCAATATTATGTCCCAAATAATTGGTATAGAACATCCATTTTGTGGCCTGGCTCAAGGCAGAAAAAGAAATGAGGAGGCATTCAGTGTTTCAAGACATTCAAAGAAATGTCCCAATATTGAACCTTGGACTCTTGGCTCTCTTGCACATAGTGGGACCTGACCTCAGTATGGCTTTGAAATCAATATTCCAGTCTACACTAAGGAAAGAGAAAACCCACTACACATGGATCATGACTGGTCAGGGCTTTTTTGGTCATCCTGACTTTTGATTCCCATTAAGGACTGGTGTTCCTGTTAGGTGGAAACACAGCTTCGGGCTCTGTTGACATGCAAAGGTGGATAGCATGTGGATGTTCCTGTCAGACATAGTATAAGATTATAACCATAATCATGGATGAGTGTGGAAACCAGTGGGAATTCTCCAGATGAACAATGCAATGGCCTGGCTCTGAAGTTTCACAAGCAGACCTGAGACTTAGAAATACATGGGGAAAGGAAGGGAAAAAATGCATTGAGGGTCACAATCTTATACTTTTAATATTGGGATACTAGATATGGAGTTATCGCAGTCTCACTGGGGCTTTACAAGGAAGAGCCATAAAAGAGAAAGGGGTTTTATGAAGTGGTGGGCAATTAGTAGCAATAAGCCATTTACTGAAGTGTTCCAAGAAGCTTATTTTTTTAAAGGTTCCTTTGATGTTTAAGTACTATTTTTGTAAATAAGGAACAGCAGATAATAAAAGGTTCTCTCAGATCCAAACAAAAACTGATGCTGAATGAGGTTACTAAACTGAAATGTATTTTAAGAGTATTAGAGAGACCTCTGAAGTCCCAGTCAGAAGTTCGAATTGCTGTTTCTTATTAAAGATGTTGTTTTCCTGATGCCTACTACTCACAAAGTACAAGCGCTAGCTACTGTTACTATCTCTGCATCTCTGCAAAAACTGTTACAGATGATTATAGCAAGTCTGTTCACTTTCAGCTGTCAAGGCCAAAGGTATTTCCTACAATGACAAAACTGTGTAAAGGCTAGAATTTTATACAGTTCCTATTTGCTTCTCACTGATCTTTTAGGACCCTTTAGAACCCATCCAGAGCATGGCTGGGATTTCAGCTCAACAAGTGCTCCTCTGGACCTGTAGGGTCATCACACAAAACGTGAACCCCCGCCAACAGCATGTGATGGCTGGGGATGTCTCTGGAACTTCTCGCTTTTCTCCAGAGCTATGCCCCAGCAAGGCTCACTCTGAATCTCTGCTCTCACTGAATCCTCTCTTGAAGATGCCAAATGCAGTTTTGCTAGGGTCTTTAGCATGCCCTTCTTCTCAAATGTCTTCTTGCCTGTTCTTTCTTTGTGATACCACTGGGAACATCTGCTTCCTCCTCAATGATTTCTGTCATTCTCTGAGAGCTGAGCTGACACAGGGACAGATCGCAAGGGCTGTTCCCCCATGGCAGCATGCTTCCATCAAGTGACCACATTCACCAAAGCAATGCACATGGGGGACAAGATTCTGTCTCAAAATAAATCCCATTTCCTTTCCATATATAAAAGGATATGTTTAAGACCTACAGCTGATGGAAATACTTTACCCAACAATGACAGCTCAAGAAACAAAAAGCTACTCATCTGGTGCTAGGCAAAGATGCTGAAAGAAAACTATTATCATACATTATTTTACATCACCTTTTCTCCCAGCCACAGTCAAATGTGATGAAGTCTTGTAATGCATGTGTTTTTAGTATCATTATACCATCAATCAACAGTTGGGTGCATTTTTATTCCTCTTACCTCTGCCTCGTAAATTTCTGGTCACAGCAGAGGTTGGTTCCATTTTCCAGAAGGTAAGAAAGGCTGTGGTAGGAGAGCAGAGAACCTGCTGACCAGAAATATGTCATGTAGTGTCATGGAGTGGTATGTGGGGAAGCTCTCTGTTCAGATTAAATGAGAAAGGTTATTATGGGAAAATAACAGAAAAAAATTGATAACAACAAACATGCTTCAATCACTCACTACCAGAAATGTCCCTATGTGTCTTATTCCTCCTCATTCTCCATGGAGGCCCTGTAGCTTCTTTTGCTTTTTGTGGAATTAAATAAGTTGGATATGATAATAGAATACATATTCATATTATATTCATTCATATATGAGCCATATTATATAATACAACTCATACAAACATAAAAAAATTGAATTAAGAGGGTACAGACTGTCTTAACTATGGCATCCTGCACCAGTTGAAAACATTACCATTTTGCATTAATAATAATCTTTCGCACTAGTATTTTTATGCAGTTAATACAGAAGTGTGTCAATCAGTATATCTGTCTATATTTGAAATAGCTACAAATACACTTTTTTTCCATGTCACATTGAAAACATTTTACTTAATCACTTTTCTCTGCTTCCTCCAGACTAGAAGCTGTTTTGCCCTATCCCCTGCTACAAGTCAGTTGCCTACCACAAATCCTTCTCTTTGCTGAATTTTGGTGTAAAATTCAGGCCAAATCCATCTGCAAAACAGTGATTTCTAGAATAATAGAAAACTAAGAAATCTACCATTTTTTCCAAATTATAGCTATACTAGGAAGATAGGAGGAATAAGATGCAGAGGGCTCCTACAATTATCTGAAAATCTACTAAAGTCTTTCTGGGCTTGCCACAGCACACAGACTGTGAGTCACAACTCCCAAGGCTTCCACTTAACAACTAAAAGAGAGAAATGATCAATAACATTTTTCTCAGTGAGTGATTAAGACTGCTTTTAACAATGCAGTCATGCATGCTATGTACTAAAAGGGATGATTCATTAGTTACTTGGAAGAGGAGCATCTTCTTTTCTCAGTTCAGAAGCCAGAGGAATGAGCCAGTGCCCCATGAACAGGGCTGACTAGCATGTAGAAAGAGAGGAAATACTGGCTGCTTTTGTCCCTGTCTCCACATCTGCAGAGCTCTTCTCACTAAAGCAAGAAAGAAATAGGGGAATTTTGTATTCAGAAGTGGCATTGTTTTAGTCATGCTTTGCATGAGTCTGACACCAGAGCTGCTGGCAGCTACTGGCAGCTGCCTCCACTGCCCTGCAGTCACAGGTGCCTGCCCCCAGCCCAAAGCATGATCTTCATGGCCCCACTGAGCATTCCAAACAGCCATACCAACTGCTCTGAACACCACTTTCTGACGTTGCTTTGACACATACATGAGAAATTTGTTCCTTCTGATTTTTGTGGTGATTGCCTCTGCAGAAATAAAAAAGAACAGTTTCATGTAGTACTGGCAAAGAGGACAATGACAAGAATAGATTTTATTATTTTATTGAATCCTATTGTCACTGAAATTAATTTTAAACCAACTCCTCCCTTTCCATCATCTTAAGTTGGCTAATGCTAATCTTCCTTTGAAGATGAGGTCACGCATATAGTAATGAATACGTCGCTCCCAAGCCTTGTTAGGTTTGGGTAGCTCCACATTGCAAGGCACTCTTTGCAACACCCTGGCGGTACAATTCAGTAGAGCATGATGGCACAACCCTCTGAAAGGTAATGCTGGGTTGTCTTACAGTCTTCTTCCTGTGAGGAGAAATGATGTTGCCAAAGCCTGCATAAGAAACATTTACAACAAGCGGAAATTGATGTTGTTGTATTTGAATCACAATAGGTGTTTCATTTATGGGCAAGTACAAAGTTTTGTTGTTTTTGTTTGTTTGGGGTTTTTTTCTGATGAGACTGATCAAAATTGTCACATGAAAGACCCACATTTCTTTACCCTTTCCTTGGAGTCTGAATAACAGGTACAAACATAACTTGTGTGCTTCTTACTGCAGACTTGTAATAATCTTCTGTACACACTGTACTCAGAAAACTAGCAGCAATTCCAAATTGGTGTGTGTGACAGACCTCTGGCACCATCTTAGAGATGATCAGTATCTGCAATGCTAGTATACAGACAATGCCCTTGCACCCAAACAATAATCACACTTTTCCTAAGTACACTTGTATCCTGGGTTTTATCAATTCAATTGAAACTCTGCTTCACTCATCCCTGGGCTAAGCCTTTGCCTAAATGTTTCTCTCTCTGGTTTTGCTTAGCCTTTCTTTTAACCTAATCCTGCCTACCCCTTTCTGCCTTTCACTACTTTTGTCCTGTCATAGGTTGCCTCCTTGGCAGCCAGCACCAGCTACTTAAGCAAAATCATTCATCTCCCTTACTCCTGCCTCTGTCTTCTTTAAGAGGTCAGGGTGGGATGAAAGGAGATGCAGCCTCCACATGCCAGGGCAACCCTGACCCCCATTAAGAGGTCAGCAGATCTAAGGGGTGGGGAGAAAATCCCCGTCAGTAGTTCTCTTCCCAAATACACTTGAGCAATATCCTGCCCTGAACACGGCCTACCCTCAACTCTCCTGTAAGCATTAGTATTTGTTACCATCCTGTTGTTATCTGAATCCCTTTTTATTTCACCTTGTCAAGTGCAGAGTACACTTCCCATAGTATTTGGAGTAGAAAAAGGGTCTCTCTAAGTGCCTGTCTAACTCAGTTCCTGATAAGAAGACCTCAGGGATTTTGGTTTATTCATTATGTAAGAGTGCTTAAAGCCTTGGCCACATAAATTTCATGCAACTCAATTCCAAGCATACAACTTTAAGGAAATATATTACGTTTGGGTTTGGTTTTTTTTCTATTCAAAAAGATGGTGTTTTAGTCTAAAGCAAGGATCATTTCTTGGTTTTGAAGGTCAAAAAATGTCTCTAGAAAATGAAACAACTGACTTGAAACATGGACAGGGTTCTTTTCATTAAGTAGCAGAATACACTGACTGAAAGAAGGATATTCTATTAAAAAAATCTCACCTTCAGTCAAACAGTTTAAATCTCCTGAATCACCTGAATAAATGCCCAGCACATATTGGACACCAAATGGAATCATCTTCATTATATATATATAGTGGTATATAACCACTGAAAAGCAATGTATTCCATATAAAAACAGAGCATTATCAATTCCATATGTGAGGTGTTATGTAACTTAAATTATTTTTTCTTTCACCATTACGCTTCAGCTTTCACCAGGAACTTCAAAGACAAATAAAACATTAGTCATTTTACTGGTGATATATAATACTCCCATTTGTCATCTCTGGCAAGGTTCTGCTTTTAAACTTAAGTTAAAGCAATTAATTTGTGTCCTAAGAGGCATAAGAACCTAAACTTCATTGCAGCAGATCTCTGATAATGCTGAACATAGAGCAAGGTCAGAGCTTGGGAAGGAAAACTGAGTGCAGTGCTGAATGACTGCTACGATTATTTTTTCTGTAACTCTTGAAATCTTGTATACTGCTCTTCTGACACTTCCTTGGAAATAGCTGCATCATTTTAGCTAAAACATTTCCTGCCTTCTCCCCTCAGCTACCCACAAGAAACACTCAGAGGCATTTATTAACATTGAAAACATCTGAACAATATATTCGCATTTCTGAAAGTATGGTAGAATTGAAAACAGTATAATTTAGTGGAAAAAGCTGGGTCGTTTTTTTCCTAGGAGCTCTTACCCATGCCCTGCATAATGGATATGTTGCTCTTTTTTTTTATCTGTAACTCACTGCCTTTTCATACTGCCACTCTCTATAATGGTTAATATATAACTCACCAATGTGTCAGTTTTTCCCCAAAGTGTTACTTCAGGCAGGGCAGGGGAATTCCCTTTGATATCTGTGCCAGAGCAAAGGTACACTGGCAGCTGCAGTTATACAAAGAGGGGACTTCAACTGCAAGGACAGCTTGGGAACGTCTGTCTCCCTTCCCTGCCTTGCCTCCGGCTGCTTCTTCACACTCGTGCTTCTCTGCTACTGCTTCTGGGTTTGTGCTCTAAATCAGGTCACTGAGCTGATCCAAATTACAAATAGGCTTTTTATTTACAGAGTTGTTCTTAATACAGGTTGTTTTTCTTACCAGAACGATGCCAGAAATTGCAGTGCTGGTGCAACTGAGGAGCCAGAGTCCTGGAACAGAGAGGAAAGAAAAGCAGTTGGGATAGAAGACACTGGGGAGGAAGCCTGAGTTCGTGGAACTGCTGGCTCAGATGGTGTCTCTTCCATTAATAAGGGCAGGATGCAGTCAGGAGGTTGCTGTCACAAACCATTAACAAACAGCAAGTTCACACAAAAGGATCATGCACTTGCTCTAAATAAAAGGCTAAACAGTAAAACAGCACCCTACGTGACTTTTGGAGGAAAAGTAGTTTTATACGTAGATGTTAGAGAACATGTGTGGGCATATGTACACACACATACACGTGCATACACACACAAATGCATATTCACACACATGTACACACACAAAAACCATCTCTAAATTTAAAAGAAAGACAAAACACATCTCACTTCAGCATTTTTGACAGTCTTCAAAAGCATGCAGCTCTGATCTCCTGGATAGCTGGTTTGTGAAAGCAACAACCAGGGAAGCCTATAGAGGGAGCAGGCCACCTTCTTTTCCTTAGCAAGAGGAGTTTACAACCTTAAGTGATGACCCTGAGAGAAAGAAAAGAGAAAGGTAGAGGAGGAAAATGTCATAGGGAGCAGAGCCCTACGAAAGGGCCAGAGCAGTTGCCCTACAAACTAGGAGAGCAGCACCAGACCTGCCCTTCAGGGGAGGGACAAGAGAGCTGCAGATTCACACCTACCGACCTCCTGTTCATCCCTCTTCTTTGTGTTCACACCTGGTGCCATACAGGAAGTCTGGAATTTCTTCGTGTTTCCCCCAGTCTACCTGTCCCAGCATTTTAGCAGCTTGTCTGCACATTGCAGGATGGGGATTTGCTTGCCTGGAAGACGAGCAGAATTTCATCTTCCAACACCTACAGCCAAAGTAATAGAGCAGTGCCTAGAAGAAAAGGAAAGATGCACTCAGAAAAGCCTGGCATTTCCTGTTGAACAAAAATAAAAACTAAAGAAAGGCTAACCATGTCACAGACAACATAAGAGAAGCAGTATTAAGCAGAGCCTGTTCAGAAGACAGAATATACAGAAATGTCATAGTTAGTTATTGTCAGTAGAGGCTAAGTGACTGAACAGAGCATTACATGTATTTGAATTCACAGACAGAAATCTGTACCAAAAGCCTCTGCATTACTGTGTTTATTATAGTCCAGTAAAACAGAGGAGGAGATTTTTTCATTTTTCTAACAGATAGGGAGCTGTGTTACTAAACCAACCCTGTTTCAGTCTTAGAGACCAAAGGAATAGCAGCTAAAAAAACATCTGTTTGACCGACCGGTATGTGCATTCTTGAACTAAAAATGAACTAAAAATTACAATCAGAAATAAAATACAGAGCACAATATGTGGCAAGCACACATGTATTATTTACCATGTTGCACCTGTGAGTTCTTCTTGCATAAAGACTGGCCACCAGAGTGTGCATCAGATAACTTATATTTTGGTAAAAGTCTAAGAATGGCTATAAAGTATGCAATATTTATACATAAAAAATTATACTAAGAGCTTTTCCTCCCATGCACTTAGGTCTAATAATACTTCAGTGTGTTTCTCCAGGGGAGCAAGAGCAGGTCTTAGCACTGCAATATAAATTGTTAAGCACAAGCCATGCAGCAGTAAAACAGAAAAGGAGTACTCTATGCCCTTCAATTCCAAGGCAATGCAGCAATAGAAATATAATAAAATAAAATAAAAGGATACTATTACTTTTCCTCATAATATGGTTGGTTCATCATTTGAGTTTTAATGCAGGTTTGGTGCTGCTTTCTTTTTCACTTATTTTTTTTTCCATCGTTAGAGAAAGGCCATTTGAGGAATGTACTCTGCACAGTGATGTGATTCAGCAACTTTCTGGAAAACAAAAACACAGCTCTCTTTTTGGTGTACTAATGAAACACAACTGGCACTAATTTTCATTGAATTGAGCCTAACTGAAAGCAGGCAATGTACCATGTTAGCTAAAGCGCAGTGGTCTTGGATCACAATATTATTTTTCATGGGTTTTTATACATTATGTGCTGAACAAAACCTGCTGCTAAATTAGGCCAATGATAACAAATATATTTTGTTATCAAACAGTACAAGCTGTTGTCTTACCTAGAATGGCTCAGCAAATACATTTGCCTTTTTATCCAAATTCTAGGTAGCTTTTGTCCATACCAAGATGTGAGACCATTGTTTCTGAGTGTTTCCCAAGGTCATGTCCACAGAGAGGTTGTCCAGCAGTTCCACAAAGGCAGAGTGCCATCTCATGAGCTTGCCATGTCAGTGTTTTTTCCATGAGGACACTGAATACTGCTCAGACACACAATATAATTTTACTTATTTGGTATTCTTTATCAGGAGTGCTCCAAGTCTGGGAAATTAAATCAGGATCAAAAGGAGGTAGAAAATCTCCCACAGTCACACACAGAGTAGTGAAAAGAATTTAGGAAGCCTTATGCTTCATGGGTGTGTTTCCATTAAAAAAATCTTACTAAAGACATCTTTGTCTATGTAGGCTGATAGAGAAGTCCTGTCTCCAGGCAGGCATGATGTGGTAGCCAGCCATGGCAAGCAGTGAGTGCCTGAGCAGGGGTGTGCTGCATGTCCTGGCTTAGGGCACATGCTGCTTTTTCTCCAAGCAACATGTGGAGTGACAGGTGGCATGTGTCCCATCAGGATCATTTCTGCATCGAGCCACAGAAGAGCTGCCACTGGAGCTCAGCAGCCAACAGTGAGTGCAGCTGGTGAGAAGCAGGTCCCACATCCTCTGTGAACCCACATGAAGATAAAAAGTGCTGCATGAGCACCCACCCTTATTTTTCCTGGCAGAGCTGCACGGGGACATTGGCACCCAGGACCTGTGGGCTTGGCTAACCACCAACCAGCACAGAGACTCTACTCTTAGAAGCACCAAACAATATTCCCCAAACATATTGTCATTCGCAAAAGAAAGAGTCATTTTGACAACAAAGTCATCCAGTGACTAAGTGGCCAGGGTGTTGCTGGTATTAAAGATGTGGCAGAACTTCTACCATAAATGTTTCTATCAGGCCACTGTGTATCAGCTGTGAAAACTTGCTCTGGGCCAATATTTGGAAAACAAGACTCAGCAAGAGTCTTTTTTGAACACATTATCATATTTCAGTAATCTACAGATATGTAAATCAAGAAACCTGCAAGTGTAGGCCTCACTGGCACCTTTGCTGATTCTTCTTTGCTGATGCTATGGTCATTAGGGAAAGTGAGTACTGGCCATTCCAAGTTCTTGATCTGGGACTTTCCTTTTACCTCCAGATGTCCTCAATGGTTCAGATAAAAATGGGGAGACGTAGGGTAAAGCAGACAAGCTGCTGTCAACAAGGAAGCATGGAGAAGAGCTTCCCCAGAAGAAAAATCTGTCTCCTGAGAAGGCACATATAGCAAAATATAGATCACCTTTGCACAGAGGTGAGGAAGAGTCACTGTTGGAAAGTTCCTAAATCCTTTCTAGCCATACATGCCTCCTTCCAGATCTGGAGTAAGCCAACTTTTCCAGGTAAGTGAAAGAAAAATTGCACTTATTTCTATCTCAAAGGAAATTTCTGCTGTTGCTTCCAAATTAAACTAGCTTATTAGTCATAATGCACTAACATTGCACTGGTCACACAGCCCTCTTTTTTCAAAAGGTTCCCTGTGGATTCTGGCACATCTGACATACACTTTGGTGAGAAAACATGTCAACTGCCCTTCTGAATGGAGATTTCCAGATGTGCACAGAATATGCCCAGGAGAAATAAGTGGTTACATGCACCAGGAATGGAAAACTCAGTACCAAACAAACAGTAGCAATTTTCATGTATTAATGATAAAGTATTCAGGATTTATAGTTAGAAATACTCTTTTCATTGTTTTCATTATTGGAGGTCTGTTATATCTAAGCATTTTTCTAAATGCTAAATCTCATTTCCAAATACCCTTAGGGAACAACAGCCACAACAACAAAACTAGAAACACTTTACTGAAGACAAAATTATAATAACTAAGCTCAACACTGTACAGTGAAAATGCAGTGTTAAAATGTATGAAGTAAAATTGTTTTCTAACTTTCCCAATGTTAAACGTCATTTTGTCCTTAGAATGAATAAAGGCAGAAATTTGTGACATGCTCTGACAGTATTATACACAACTGTGGTTTATGCAAGTTATGTGTTAGGTCATTATATTTTCTCAGTACAGTTAAGGCCAAAGATATGTAATAAGATATTTTTAATTAATTTTTAATTAATAAGTTCTTTTTTAAAAAAAGCTTTTAACCCTCCCTTCCTTTGAGACCATGATTCCAGGAATTCCTGAGAAAATAGATAGTTTATTTTTCAGCATTTCTTACACAGGAAACCCAGAGGGATATCTCAAGTGAAAGAGATTCTTCAGCAAGCATAAAAAAGTCACTGCTATCACACCTATCACATTGGTGGCAAAAGCAAGAGAAGGCAACAGATAAGCACCAATCTGTACTGGGGCAACCCCTCAGATACTTTGTAGTAGAGTTTTCTGAGGTTGGTAGGACAAGTGTTTCAGAGCACACATACTACCATGGCCTGGGCTAGAGATAGGCTTCCCTTATCACTCCTGAACAAATCTTCATGCAACAGACATTCTCACATCACCTGTGTATAGTGCATGCAAATGTTGTGCAGGCTGGGAAATGACAGTTTCTTCTCACAATGTGTTGAAAAACATATTCTCTTTCTTTTTTTTTTCAGGAGCAAAAATAGAAACCACATATTTCCAAAACCAGAACTGTGTCATAATAGCCAACACAGGACAATAGGGAAAAGGGGTTGTTGTGGTCTGCAATATCTTCTCACATTAGTAACCCTCCCTTCCTCCCTCTCTTCCAGCCTCAAACATGTGGCTGTCATAAACTCTTAAAGGCAACATTGTCAAATACATTCACCAAATATTCTGATGAAAAAGAATCATTAAAAAAAACAAATACAGTGATGAAAACACTCTGTTTGGAGCATTGCTTCATACTGGTGAATAGCTCATTTGCTATTTCTGGGTATTAGAGTCGAGCTCAGTGCTTTTGTTATAGATATTTTTAAATAAAGGGTAAAGAACATATTTGTCCTATGTTACATACTTGAAATGTCTGTGGAAATAAGCAAGCACACACTTCTTAGGGCACTGCCTATGGTAGTATCTGTAGGTCTTGAAACAAGCAGACAGGCCAAAGGCACGTGGGTTTCACAAATCACTCCCCAGCAAAAATCTGCATTTATGAGCTGACTCCTTATCTCCACTTCAATCAAATGAGCTTATTGTTAAAGTTTTACAAAGCAACCCAGCAGCAAGGTGAAAGATGAAGAGATTATTGAATAATAGATAAGAATATTTTTAGTCAGCTCAGATGTATTCATGTATCTGAGAAAGCACCAGGAAAAAAGCTCTCAGAAAGGTGCTGGCTGAATTCCAGCAAAAGCAACCTGACTGTCAGGGCCCTGCAAGGGCTGGGGTCTTCCTATGAGAGACAGCAAAACAGAAATGTTGGGGAGGTACCAGGAAACCCAAGAGATTCCTGGCCAGAGGCACTGGGTAACTCTGTGGGGATGGGGACATAGGCCTGTGGTGGTCCCAGCCTGGGACACTCACAGCTGAGCAGGGCTGTGGGCAGCTGGAGAGGGGCTGAATCATCACTGGGCAGGGACCAACAGTCCCAGGGGGCTGACATGGGATCCTGGGCTGTAAGCAGTGTGGGGGGAGCCCCAGAGGGCTGGGCAAGAGGAGTCAGAAATGGGGGTGCCCTCAGGGTTCTGGTATAGTTATGCAGAGATGCAACATTAGCACTAAAACAGCTGTCCGTATTTCTGGTCCTGCAATTGATTAATTTTTGCTACTTTTTCAGTCATAGCATTATAAGCCAACAATCCTGCCCTTATATTTGGAGCAGCTGGAACTGTAAACCTACTCCCAAGGTCATTCTTCCCATCAGGTTTCCTACAATGTAGTTGAACGTGGGGGCAACAAAGCATTTGTAATGATCTGGAAAGCACTGTCCCCATGCACAAAAGAAGAAAACTACCAAATTGTCTAATTTCAGCACTGTTCTGCTTCTTACCCTACATCCATTACCCAGTGAGAGTAATTTTTCCATTATTATGGTCTGAAGAGACAAAGAGTTTTAAAATATCTTCTCACTGCGTGAGCCAGCCCTCTCCCTGTTGCATTTCCCTTTTAATGAAGATCACAGTGCAGTTGACATCTTTGATCCTGGGAGCCTCTGAAGAAGTGAAGGTATAATGACATTATTCACTTAAAAGCTAGGGAGATACTGACTGAACATCTACTGAAATAAAGTAGCAGTGAATAATGAAGTGTCACTTGGATATTCAGAACTTCATTCATTAAAAAAACATTTCTGAAAGGAACTGGTTCATGCGTCCCTGGAAACACTAATACAAGACGTGCCAGGCTAAATCAGACTTGGCATTTAGTCCAGAATCAAAGTATTTGAACATAGTCCATCCTCCTACAACAGTGACTACAGAGCAGAAAGCTCTTCTCTTACGTTGTGTACAACTATGAGACTATATGTAGTAGTGTCTAGAGAATCTCTTATAAGGCAGATGTGAACAGGGAATACTTTTGTCAGCAGTATTCAAGAAGCATAGTCCCTCACAATGTAAAGGTATGACAGCCCCCAAAATACCGTACCATGTGAAAAGAACCAAATCTCTCTCTTTTGCACCAGGGGCAGTCATAAACCTGCAGCACCATGGAGCTCATTGCTGCCTAATCTACCTTGATTTTTTGAGAGGACATTTTTTATTAACTCCTTGCTCCCTTAACTAGGCTGCCGTAGGCAACTGAGTTAACATGTTCAA